TTAAAACATTATAGTTAATTTCGTAACCTTTAAAAAGTGTGAAATTAGGCTTAGTCCAATGGTATGGACTGCCGACTCTAAATCTGAAGGTTGTGGGTTCAAATCCAGGGTGGAAATTTTAGATTTTATTTATATTTGGGTAAATTGAAACTTCATAGTTAATTTCGTAACATTTAAAAATTGTGAAATTACACTTAGTCTAATGGTATGGACTACTGACTCGAAATCTGAAGGTTGCGGGTTCTATTCCAGGGTGGGAATTTTAGATTTTAAAATTTTATTACTTTTTTGGGTAAATTAAAACATTATAGTTAATTTCGTAACCTTTAAAAAATGTGAAATTACACTTAGTCCAATGGTATGGACTACTGACTCTAAATCTGAAGGTTGTGGGTTCAAATCCAGGGTGGAAATTTTAGATTTTAAAATTTTATGTCTTTTAGGGTAAATTTAAATTTTATAGTTAATTTCGTAACCACTAAAAAGTGTGAAATTATGCTTAGTCCAATGGTATGGACTACTGACTCTAAATCTGAAGGTTGTGGGTTCCAATCCAGGTTGGAAATTTTAGATTTTAGATTTTATTTATTTTTGGGTAAATTGAAACTTCATAGTTAATATCGTAACACTTACAAAATTGTGAAATTACACTTAGTCCAATGGTATGGACTACTGACTTGAAATCTGAAGGTTGTGGGTTCAATTCCAGGGTGGAAATTTTAGATTTTATACTTTATGTCTTTTTGGGTAAATTTAAACTTGATAGTTAATTTCGTAACCACTAAAAAGTGTGAAATTATGCTTAGTCCAATGGTATGGACTGCTGACTCTAAATCTGAAGGTTGTGGGTTCAAATCCAGGTTGGAAATTTTAGATTTTAGATTTATTTATTTTGGGGTAAATTGAAACTTCATAGTTAATTTCGTAACCTTTAAAAATTGTGAAATTACACTTAGTCAAATGGTATGGACTACTGACTCGAAATCTGAAGGTTGTGGGTTCAATTCCAGGGTGGGAATTTTAGATTTTAAAATTGTATTACTTCTTTGGGTAAATTAAAACATTATAGTTAATTTCGTAACCTTTAAAAAGTGTGAAATTAGGCTTAGTCCAATGGTATGGACTGCCAACTCTAAATCTGAAGGTTGCGGGTTCAAATCCAGGGTGGAAATTTTAGATTTTATTTATATTTGGGTAAATTGAAACTTCATAGTTAATTTCGTAACATTTAAAAATTGTGAAATTACACTTAGTCCAATGGTATGGACTACTGACTCGAAATCTGAAGGTTGTGGGTTCAATTCCAGGGTGGGAATTTTAGATTTTAAAATTTTATTACTTTTTTGGGTAAATTAAAACATTTTTTGGGGGGGTAAATTAAAACATTATCTGAAGGTTGTGGGTTCAATTCCAGGGTGGGAATTTTAGATTTTAAAATTTTATTACTTTTTTTGGTAAATTAAAACATTATAGTTAATTTCGTAACCTTTAAAAAATGTGAAATTAGGCTTAGTCTAATGGTATGGACTACTGACACGAAATCTGAAGGTTGTGGGTTCAATTCCAGAGTGGGAATTTTAGATTTTAAAATTGTATTACTTTTTTGGGTAAATTAAAACATTATAGTTAATTTCGTAACCTTTAAAAAGTGTGAAATTAGGCTTAGTCCAATGGTATGGACTACTGACTCGAAATCTGAAGGTTTTGGGTTCAATTCCAGGGTGGGAATTTTAGATTTTAAAATTGTATTACTTTTTTGGGTAAATTAAAACATTATAGTTAATTTCGTAACCTTTAAAAAGTGTGAAATTAGGCTTAGTCCAATGGTATGGACTGCCGACTCTAAATCTGAAGGTTGCGGGTTCAAATCCAGGTTGGAAATTTTAGATTTTAGATTTATTTATTTTTGGGTAAATTGAAACTTCATAGTTAATTTCGTAACATTTAAAAATTGTGAAATTACACTTAGTCCAATGGTATGGACTACTGACTCGAAATCTGAAGGTTGCGGGTTCTATTCCAGGGTGGGAATTTTAGATTTTAAAATTTTATTACTTTTTTGGGTAAATTAAAACATTATAGTTAATTTCGTAACCTTTAAAAGATGTGAAATTACACTTAGTCCAATGGTATGGACTACTGACTCTAAATCTGAAGGTTGTGGGTTCAAATCCAGGGTGGAAATTTTAGATTTTAAAATTTTATGTCTTTTAGGGTAAATTTAAATTTTATAGTTAATTTCGTAACCACTAAAAAGTGTGAAATTATGCTTAGTCCAATGGTATGGACTACTGACTCTAAATCTGAAGGTTGTGGGTTCCAATCCAGGTTGGAAATTTTAGATTTTATTTATTTTTGGGTAAATTGAAACTTCATAGTTAATATCGTAACACTTACAAAATTGTGAAATTACACTTAGTCCAATGGTATGGACTACTGACTTGTAATCTGAAGTTTGTGGGTTCAATTCCAGGGTGGAAATTTTAGATTTTATACTTTATGTCTTTTTGGGTAAATTTAAACTTGATAGTTAATTTCGTAACCACTAAAAAGTGTGAAATTATGCTTAGTCCAATGGTATGGACTGCTGACTCTAAATCTGAAGGTTGTGGGTTCAAATCCAGGTTGGAAATTTTAGATTTTAGATTTATTTATTTTTGGGTAAATTGAAACTTCATAGTTAATTTCGTAACATTTAAAAATTGTGAAATTACACTTAGTCCAATGGTATGGACTACTGACTCAAAATCTGAAGGTTGTGGGTTCAATTCCAGGGTGGGAATTTTAGATTTTAAAATTTTATTACTTTTTGGGGTAAATCAAAACATTATAGTTAATTTCGTAACCTTTAAAAATTGTGAAATTACACTTAGTCAAATGGTATGGACTACTGACTCGAAATCTGAAGGTTGTGGGTTCAATTCCAGGGTGGGAATTTTAGATTTTAAAATTGTATTACTTCTTTGGGTAAATTAAAACATTATAGTTAATTTTGTAACCTTTAAAAAGTGTGAAATTAGGCTTAGTCCAATGGTACGGACTGCTGACTCAAAATCTGAAGGTTGTGGGTTCAAATCCAGGGTGGAAATTTTAGATTTTATTTATATTTGGGTAAATTGAAACTTCATAGTTAATTTCGTAACCTTTAAAAAATGTGAAATTACACTTAGTCCAATGGTATGGACTACTGACTCTAAATCTGAAGGTTGTGGGTTCAAATCCAGGGTGGAAATTTTAGATTTTAAAATTTTATGTCTTTTAGGGTAAATTTAAATTTTATAGTTAATTTCGTAACCACTAAAAAGTGTGAAATTAGGCTTAGTCCAATGGTATGGACTGCCGACTCTAAATCTGAAGGTTGTGGGTTCAATTCCAGGGTGGGAATTTTAGATTTAAAAATTTTATTACTTTGTTGGGTAAATTAAAACATTATAGTTAATTTCGTAACCACTAAAAAGTGTGAAATTATGCTAAGTCCAATGGTATGGACTACTGACTCTAAATCTGAAGGTTGTGGGTTCAATTCCAGGGTGGGAATTTTAGATTTAAAAATTGTATTACTTTTTTGGGTAAATTAAAACATTATAGTTAATTTCGTAACCTTTAACAAGTGTGAAATTAGGCTTAGTCCAATGGTATGGACTACCGACTCGAAATCTGAGGGTTGCAGGTTCAATTCCAATGGGGGAAGTTTAGATTTTAAAATTGTATTTCTTTTTGGGTAAATTTAAACTTGATAGTTAATTTCGTAACCTTTAAAAGTGTAAAATTATGCTTAGTCCAATGGTACGGACTGCTGACTCAAAATCTGAAGGTTGTGGGTTCAAATCCAGGGTGGAAATTTTAGATTTTCAAATTTTATTACATTTTGGGTAAATTAAAACTTCATAGTTAATTTCGTAACCTGTAAAAAGTGTGAAATTATGCTAAGTCCAATGGTACGGACTGCTGACTCGAAATCTGAAGGTTGTGGGTTCAAATCCAGGAAGGGAATTAAAGATTTTAAAATTTTATATCTTTTTGGGTAAATTGAAACTTTTTAGTTAATTTTTTAACCAATTAAAACAGTAGAATTATGCTAAGTACAATGGTACGGACTGCTGACTTTAAATGTTAAGGTTGTGGGTTCAAATCCAGGGTGGAAATTTTAGATTTTAAAATTTTATTTCTTTTGGGTAAATTGAAATTTGATAGTTAATTTCGTAACCACTAAAAAGCATGAAATTATGCTTAGTGCAGTGGTTCAGACTGCCGACTATAAATCTAAAGGTTGCAGGTTCATCCCCACGCTGGGAATTTTAGATTTCAAAATTTTACTACCTTTCAGGTCAATTGAAACTTTACAGTTAATTTTGTATCCACAAAATAGTGTGAAGTTGTGCTTAATCAAGTAATACGGACTGATGACCCTAAATCTGAACTTCTGAAGGTTGCTGGTTCAAGTCCCACAGTTGGAGTTTCAGATTTTAAAATTTTATTAATTTTGAGGTCAATTGAAATTTATATTTTTTTCAAGTTTGAAACCAGTCCACACTTCTAGTCTAGCAAAAGCCAAAAAGTAAAAAAGCAAATACTTCTAGCTTGAAGCAAATAGTGAAAGCATTTGCTCTCATTTTTATTCATGCAAATAAAAGTTATGCTTAAAAATATGTAGTAAAAAAAAAAGCAAATGCTAGTTTTTATACATACGACCAAATATTTGTTTCAATGTTAATCATAATTGCATCGTTTATGTTTCAGTAATAGATTTGAGGACCTACATGGATCTGTTTGGGCCTACAACGACGCCCATTCACTGAGCGGATTCGGGATTTGCCCATCGAGAACTCGAAAAGATAGGAGAGACCAAGGCCAGTTGCTTTGGTAAAATTTTTCATTCAGGTAAGACAAACTTCCATGAAGACTCAACTCATTAGTTCAATTCCCCCCCCCCCCAACTAAGCCCTAAGACAACACTGAGTGTACACTATTTACAAAATATGTCCGGTTTTATTTAGTTAGGTGGCTTTCAGGCTGTTAGTTCTCCCACATTTTAATGGTGGTCCCTCATTTGACATGTTGTCATCAAACGTTCTTTTGTCAAAGCCATCGGGGCAGAATATTTTTGGCATGCTGTTGGAAAGAACCAATTTTCAACTTTTGTTCTTGTGAAAATCCTGTTGCGTGACATCACAGCCTGTGTTGTGATGTGAATGAGTTCTACCTGATTGATAAACGTGACCCGACTCAGAGGTGGCATGTCTTGGTGACAGTCCCTCGCTTGTCAGCTGGTATGGAATGTCATTTGGTGACAAGTGAACGTCCTTATCCAAAGTCAAGGAGTAATGTCCCACAGTATCTCCGGGGTTATCCACGATGTTGCCGAGCGGCTCCGAATCTTCCTCAGACGTTATCGTCATGACGACTGTCTGCTCCATGTTCCCAAGGGTGCCCTCCGAGGACGACATCATGGCCATGTGTGAGATGTCCTGTGATTGGTCAGCCAGGTCTGGTACCAAGACTGTAGATTCAGCTGCAGATTCCTCGGGGGCTGATTTGGATAATGCGCAGGCCTGAGCGTACAGTCGTAGCTGTGCTAGATGGTGGTGCAGCAGCTGGGTGTGTTCCTCAGACATGTGTTGCAGTAACTCTTGCAAAATGGACTGGTTTTCGCTGTCGTTGGTTAGATGTTTCAAACTGGACGTGTGAATCATGGACAGCTGCTGCTTGAGTGACATGTTTGTGTTGGACAAATACTCAACCTGGAGGGCAAGACGGATGGGCAGAGAAATTATTTGTTTACAGATGGAATTTTAATAGACCAATCCATTAGGCTCTGCCCCATGATGTGTAACCAATCACAACCATGACAGCGCACACCAAAGTCTGACATTTATGCACTTCATGATGTGTGCAGTTGGAGCATGAATGCTTAAGAAGGCACATGTGTTGTTACCCAGTTATTTAGTGCAACTAGAGTTTGAGTGAAACCACGAATCCTCTACACAAGGATAAACGACACATCTGAGCTTGTGTACAAAATGTGTGCAACGGTTTGTCTGCATTTATCATAAGCAGCGTCAGCGCATAAAATAACGTAGAACGTGTAGCGTAGAACGTGTAGAAAATGTAGAGCAATGACAACAACAGTGCACACCATGATTGCCCACAGCCATGACAGCTGGCATCCTGACAGAAATCTGACCACTGAAAGAACGCAGTCGCATTAGTGTGCCTGCATTAGTTCTGATCAAGGTATGTCCCCCCTCCCACTTTTGAGAAGCGATTGACGCCCTTGGTACCTGTTGCATGCAGGGAACAAGATCCAAACTCATTCTTAGACCAAGACTAGATGGAATGCCCACTCACCTTTGTACGAAGCCTTTCTATAGTGCCTTTCATCCTGTGCTCTGTCTGGGCCCACGTGGTCCGCTCCTCCTCAAGAGTCTTCTCCAGACGTTCCTTCTCCTGCAGCAGCAGCGACAAGTTGTGCTCTGTGTAGCAAGTCTCGTCCTCCAAATCCCCTTTGCTTCCTTCGTCTGGTATCTCAATAAGGACAACTGTTTACGAGAGGACAGAATGGTCGAGGGAAACGTTGAGTAATTATCCTGGATACTAGTTCCTGTATTACAGAAAGTCCCTCAGGCCACTCCTAATGAGTAGACTGGATCACGTTTGTAAACACATGTGCATTTCAAACGATAATAGGGAGTCGGGAACTAGCGCAGCTTTTATGGCGGGTACCAGTTCAAGCTGGTTCCCGATTCCCTTTTACAGTGCGAAATGCACATGTATGTGTTTACAAACGTGACTCATTATCATAATCGATGCATCGCGCGCGCTCGGTAACGGAATCGCACTCGGGATACGGGGACCATCGAATGTACGCTGGGCATGTAGAAGAAATCGCGTCGTTCAAGCATTAAACACGATCGGAAATTTAACGTGTTCAAGATCGCGAGGGGAGCTCTCCGAAATGAACGGAAAATTTCACTTTTTTTCCGGATCGTAAGTACACTTCAGTACAACCATCTTAATTATCGATGTCTACTTGTACCTCAGGTGGCATATCTAGTAATTTGGAGGCCGTTTTGAAGGTGAAATCTGATGTTTTTTGTTGGAAAATGTTGGTTTTCGGGACTGTGTTGTCTAGGTCGCGGTATTAGCTTGGACCTTACTATCGCCAGACCATGTCCAAATGTTAAAAAAGGCGATAAGTTGGGTCCAAGTTACTCGGACTACATCAAAACATAGACATTTTCCACAGAACCGCTGCACAATTTGCCCATAAACTCCATACCATACCTCATGACATACGCACGTAAGTTGCGCCTAACAAACGTCGCTGGATTCAGTCGGTTTTTAGGCCATAATGATGAAAAAATATGCCCTTTCCGCACTGAGCCAACCTGACTCTTGAAACGTGTACGCAGATTTGATCAAATTGATGATTTTCGGTTCGCTCTGAGCATGCCGCAAGCAAATGATACGCGCATGCGCACAAGTGCAAGTACCGTACCCCCTGCGGCATGCTCCGAGCGAACCGAAAATCAGTGATCGATCATTATCTTTGTGCACGTTTCTAGTGTCAGGTTGGCTCAGTGCAGAAAGGGCTTATTTTTCATCATTTTGGCCTAAAAACCGACAGAATCCACCAATGTTTGTTAGGCGCAACTTACATGAGTATCCTCGACTCATTATAATTGAGGCAGATAACGCTTGCAACACGCGCGTGTTGTCCAACGTAAATTGAATGCGAGTGCGTCAAAACATATCCTGGTCATTTTTGGTGGACTGACGATATGTCATGGTCATGAGGGATTGTGCTGCAATTAACCATTTTGTGGGGTTCTGTGTCTATGCGGCTCCGCTCACGCGGAGCATCATAGTTCTAGGAGTAACCGAATACCGTAGCAGCAGCCATTCAATATTCATTGTGAAGTGTCCAGAAACTGGACAATTTCACATTTTGCTTTCTTAATATTACTTTTGCGACAAGGTGTCCAACTAAAGAATATAAACAATTTTCCACAATCTCTTGGGTACCTACCAATATAGATAGCCATTTTCAATAACTCCTTTGTCTTGAATAATCACATAAATTCTGGGGCGGGGGGGGGGGGAATTCAAGGGGAAAAACTCAAAAACATTGATCTCCATGGTCAGCGTAAACAGCGCCCTCCAGAAAAAATAGAAAACATGGGTTTAAAGGTTTTTTGAAAATTCGATTCATTCCCAGCTGCGGCTTTGTGTGCTATAATTATTTGAAGATTATGAAATTTCCTCACAGCTACTCAGAAAGCGTCAGTTGTCAAATAAGAATAGACAAATAGGTATTATTCGGCTTCCGTGACGGGAGACGTATGCGTCTCGTTAAAAAAAAGACGGATGCCAGTTCAATATATGAACCTGAAGCAGTTGTGATCTGCGATGGAGGCCGATGTTTCGAAAGAGCTTGCATGCCCATCGAACGACACATGAGGGCAGCATTCAACAACATAAACACGCGACTGTACGGCGCTGTCTTCCGAGTGGCTGAAACTGTACCTGTTGTTACCTTTGCCCCTTTCTTATTACTGGTACGTCAGTATTACTAATTTTATTTAACCATTTAATAAATGGTAACATTAATTTGGTTGTTTATATTAGCTATTGGTGAAATCTGCATTATTGTATTTAGTGAAACGTACTGCAAGAAGTGGCCATAGACGTACTGCGTTTATTGTATAGCGTGGCATCCATAGCCACGCACGGCGCGCTGAATCGCAAGGCACAAACCGCGCAGGAAAATCGTGGTTTCTATCCCAAAAAACGTTCAAAATTGCACAACGGGTGTCATTAGAACTAAGGAAAAACTGCTTTGATTGTAAAGGTGATTTTTGAGCAATACCAAAAAAAACCACTTTTGACTCCAATATGACCAAAACAAAACAGGGGCCCTACACTTCATGATCGCCGTAATTTTTCCCTAAATGACCTAGGCCTATCATCAGCCATCTGAAAGTGATATTTTGTCCTAAAAAGTCTAAATTAGCAGTGACAAATTTTATATTTTTACCGAGAAAACACTTACAAATTTTCAGACAAGTGATGGCCAGGTATGGGAATCTTTCCCAATTAAAAATAACATCAAAGGAAAGATTCCCATATATGGCCATCACTTGCCACCCTGTGCACAAACCCTATGAGACTGGTCTGAAAGTGTTTTTCTCATTTAATACTTCAATATTTTCCTAGCTCTACTGAAAGGAACGCTGGAACTTCGGTACGCATTTTTCGTAAAAATTATTCACATTGCCAGGTTCATGGGCCGGTACGTATGGTAAACCTAGCCAACTGTGCAAATTGCAAAGTGACACGGTTCCTGTGCCGTGCTGACTGGCCAATGTGGCCGTCCGTACACGGTGATATTGTTGCAGTTTGCCATTTTTCCACGGCATTAGAGACTTACTTGCAAATATTACCGAACTGAATTTTTGCACTCGAAATGTATTTCCATGCCAAACTGTGTATTTCTTGCTATTTTATTTTTGATTTTATGGATGATCCTGCGGTTTTCTGATGAACCATTGCGCTGCCCGAGAAACGATTGCTTGTCTGCAGTCCATCATGAATCGATGATGATGTCAATTCAAAAAGTCATAGTCAGTGATTTCGAAAGTTTACCTACATGTATGGCAAAAAGTTGGATTTAGTGATTTCAAAAGTTTACCTCTGGCAAAAAAAATAAAAATACCTTTAGGTTTCTTTAAGATAATGTAAACTTTTAGAATTGATCAAATTAGGTTTTGCCCTTCACCGACGTATAAACACTGTATACTCAGTCTGTTACCTCCCGAGTGAAAGTTGGGAAAAATCAAGCCGGTGGGACTCAAACCCACGATGTCCAGTGCTTTCTAGTGCAGATGTCTTACCACTCGACCACCAAGCTAACGGGATCTGTTGGCCGGTTCGATTTGAACTTTAGCAGCGGGTACCGCATTAACTATTTATTGCCAAATCACCCAGTATTGCTGTTCCAATGTGCAAGGAAACAGGTCATCTCGTACCTTGGGCAACTCGTACCTTGGACAACTCATACATACATTTAATGTGACATCATTATGCCAACTCGTACCTTGGACAACTCGCACCTTCAATAAAGACGTCTCGTTCCATTACGTGTAAGTCAAGTCGTACTGAATCAATTAAAAGTACAGGCTGCTCTTTTAATATGTGTTTTAATTTTGGTTATTAGACTTCGCAAGAAAACGAATGCAGGAATTACTTTGACAGTCACCATATGTGAAGATGAAATGGTTAACCTCTCCTATTCATCTCAACATTTATTTCCATATTTCAAAGAACATTCAGGTAACTGTACAAAAAGGTCAAGAAACGAATGTTTGTTAAAAAATATGAGATTAATGATTATGTAAAGACACAATTGAAAAAAAGTAAATTTAGACAAAGTAAATCTTTAAATTTGCTTTCTCTTATTTTGTCTCTGTTTAATTTTTTGCTAAAGCTCGTTCTGGATGAGAACATCATAAGCTTTGAACTTGCTACATGTACCTTGGTACTGGTGCATGCAGAATGCGCATCGGGCACTGAAGCATTATAAAAAAAGGTTCCAAATATTCTTGAAGTAATAACTAACACTTCTTGGCAGCAATAATCCTTCTGTTTACAAAAAAGACCACCCACCCCCCCCAAAAAAATGTACTTAAAGAAAACAAAATAAAAGTTTCCAAATATTCTTTAAAGGTACAGTCCATCATTTTGCAAGGACTGTACTTTGTTCGTTTGAAGCAACAAACGTGCTCAAACTCTAAAGAAGGGTACTGAACAACTAACGTGATGAAGTTTCAGCTCAGCTTCAGCTGTACATTTCGAGTAAAACAACATTCTAGGATCTCGATTTCAAATCAAAAGATGCTGAATCTTGTTTTGAATTTGGCCTGAATTCAGTGTTGGAGACACGCTCTCACTGAGCTAAGTAGCACATGGCTTTCAATAGTATACAACTGCTTTATGTGCAGTTTCTTTATATTTCCAGTGTGTTTTTGGTCCAACGTAATAACACCAAAATGGATGAGAAGCAGGGACCAACTTCTGATGATGTCCCAACTGGGGAGGTAACGTCAACCACAGTTACAGAGGGTGATGTTGTCAAGATGCCAACAGATGTGGCCATCACTATGGATGCTATTCCCAATGAAGATGAGGAGGACAAATCCAAAGGTGACTTGTTATTCTTTTACTTGGTGAAGACGTTTGCCCCTTTGCCAGGTCAGCTAAGTGTAATCCCATTCATGTGATTTTGTCCATGCTTGCTTATTGGAAACTTAATACTTTAACCCAGTGAAATTAATTTTGCTGCAAAATAGTTTTGTTGCTTTCCAGGTAATTGTTTTAAATTGGGGGAATGAGGGTTCAATTTCATAAAAAAATTGCACCTTTACTTGGTACTTGGTACTTGGTACTTGGTGGTTATCCTGAATAGTCCACGTGGAAGTCTAGCAAGGAGGCCTTGGGGAAGTGGAACTAAATTAAATCCTTAAAGGTGTGGTTTGGGGTGTCTGTGGTGTCTTGAGGGAGCTTGTTCCATTTCCGGATAGTTCGGGGTAGGAATGACTGCATATAGATGTCTGTCCTTGCTGCAATTTCTGTGAACTGGTGGTTGTGAAGTCTACGAGCCGGTGCTGGTTTGGGGACTATGGATGATGAGTTAATGTGAACTATGTTGTGTATTATTTTAGTAGGTAAGTAGGTAAGTTGGTTAACTTTCCTTCTCTCTTCCAGTGAAGACCAGCCTAGGGTTGTCAACATGTCGGTCACACTGCTCAGTCTGGAATAATCTTGCACTGTTACGAAACGAGCAGCCCTCATCAGTTGCACTTTTTCCAGGGCTGTTATGTTCTTAGCTATGTGAGGGTTCCAAGCAATGCTGCCATATTCTAGGTGTGGTCTGACTAGTGCTAAGTACAGCTTTTCTTTGACTGATCTGGATGCAGAATGAAAATTTATTTTGATGAAGTTCAATATACGACTTGCTTTGGAAGTGGCATGTGCTGTTTGGTGATTCCAACTTAGGTTATTCTGAATGATTATTCCCAAATATGTGATGTTGGTTTTCTCTACGAGGTTGGATCCCAACATGGTGTAGTTAGTTTTGCCGGGGGCCCGCTTCCCGGAGATTCGCATGATGTTACATTTGCTGGAGTTAAATTTCATTCCCAGGTTTGCGCCCAGTGAGCCAAGTTGTCCAGTTCTTTTTGAACATCAGTTCATCAGTTGATGAGCAGATCTTCCGATATAACAGGCAGTCGTCAGCGAAAAGGCGAGTTGTGCCAGTCACTGATTAGCTAATGTCATCGATGAAAAGTAAAAACCGATGGGGGCCAAGTGCGGTGCCTTGTGGTATGCCACTGTTGACACTTTGCCATTTCAAAGATTTTCCATTTACCACAACTCTTTGTGACCTGTTGGTTAAGAATTCCCTGATCCATCTCTGTGTTTTTCCCCTTATCCCGTAGTAGTCTAATGTTTGGACCAGTTTTTTTTATGAGAAACTATGTCGAATGCTTTGGAGAAGTCAAGTACTGCCATGTCTGTGGTGATTTGATTATTGTAATTGTAGGAGATGTCATCCAGAGTTGTTACGAGTTGGGATTTGCAGGACAGGCCTTTACGAAAAGCATGTTGGTTTTCGTTCAGGATGTGGTGTTCCTGGAGGTGTTTCATTTATTGGCTATCAATGATGTGCTCTAATAACTTAAAGCAAACAGAGGTCAACGACACAGGTCTGTAGTTTGCCGGGTCGGCAGAGAGCCTTTCTTAAAAATGGGTGTTACGTTGGCTTTCTTCCAGTCAGATGGTAGAGAACCCAGCAGGTCAAGTGATTGTTGGAATATGAATGCGAGTACTGGGGCAACTTCATTGGCAGCTAGTTTCAAGTTGAGCGACGTCAGTAACTTGAGGACTCCGCTAACAGACACGGTGATGTTTGTCAAGTCTGAGTAGGGACTCGGTGGTAGAACTGGCTGCACATCGGTGTCATCCCAGCTGAAAACACTACAGAATTGGTCTTGTAGGGTTTCAGCTTTTTCTTGGTCAGATGTGATATTTTTCCTGTTGAGTTTTAGAACCTGAACCCCTGTGTTGTCTTTACGAGTGCTGTTTATGTAGCGCCAAAATTTCTGGGGTTATCTGTAGATGTAGTTTCTTGTGAATGTGTGCGTTTAGCCCTTCGGATTTCGCTGTTCACTTGCTTTTGCAAAAGTTTGAATGTAGACCGCTTGTTACTGCCTTCACATACATGTAGCTGTGCTCTTTCTTCCTGCAGCAACGGATTAGGACAGTAGTGAGCCATGAGGGTCTAGAATGTCCCTGGACTGGTTTTTGTGGTACTAATTCGTTAGTTTTCAGCCTGTCCCTAAAAATAGTTCAATTTGCCTCAACTGTTCTGGTTTCTGGAGATGACTGCATGAATTCGGTCTTAAGCTCGAGGACAGATTTTTTTCAGCTTGGATTCATCCACGTCATTCCACTTGAAGATGGTCCTAGGGGGCTTGACAGAGCGAGGTGCGGTGATGTTTATGTCAGCTAACACTGTTGCGTGATCGCTAATTCCAGAGTTGCTGTAAACATTACAAACCAGAGTTGGACGTGTGGTGAAGAGCAAACCTAAGATGTTATCTGTTCCTGTAACTGGGTCTCTCCTTGTAGTAAAATTTGCCTTTTGTTGGAGATTGTAGTCATCTGCGATGTTGATAATTTTGGATTGAATACCGTTTGCCGAGAAAGTACATGTACCAGTCCTTGAGTTCCAAAGCATGCCCAGGATGTTCGAAGTCTCCTCCAAGAATGATGAATGGGGAGTTTACCCGAGCCTGCAATTTACTCAGACTCCTGTCTAGGTTTTCTAGAGATTCTGGCCTGTAGGAGTCGGGGGCTCTATAATATGCAGAGACGAAGATGTCCTCTCCTTGCAGCTTGAGCGGCAGTTGGCACCAGAGTAATTCACAACCATCTTCAGAAAGTTCAATGGCTGAGAAACCATCCTTAACCAAGATAAAGACACCTCCGCCACGTCTGTCGTTTCCTCTGTCTTTGAACCTTTGTTCAACTGTCAAACTTGTGAATTTCTGATGAATGAATGCAAAGTTTACAAAGCCATTCATGTCTTAAAACATTCATTCTTTTATAAAGCCCTGTCCGCACTGGACTTTTTTTGGTCAAACTTACCGAGACTATGGGTACTTTTCCCATTTAAAGTCCAGTGCGGACAGCCTAGGACATTTTCCTCTAAAGCCGTGTCCGCACTGGACTTTTTTGGGGGAAGGTTTTACCGAGACGATGGTAAAATGAGAAATGGTCAAATGTGACCACTGTCCGCATTTGGACTTTCGACATGGGAAAATTTACCCAGACCGCGTGGGAGAAGTAACCGAGCTGTCACAGTGTCAGTATAATGACTCACCGTACACAGAAAAGAAATTGCCGATCACATTTTCAGCCGCCGATACGCACAGTAATATTTCACACGCCATTTGCATGCACAACATAATCGTTTACACGATATTATTGCATCTTGACACGCTAAATCTTGACGAAAAGGCCTATAATTCTGACGCATTTGTGATGCACGTCGTCGAAGCCATGTACGATGTTCCGTGCGGCAGCAGTACCATCAGTATTCGTTGGTTCCCATCGCATGCTTACAGAATCAAAGCTATGATGTGGGCCAGGAACCAGTGACTACGGCCTACGTGCGGTACCGGACCATGATGTTCCGTGCATGACTACAGTAGCATATCAGGACGAAATTGGATTGTAGAAAATAACATACATCGGTGGAGAAGAGAATTTCCGCAAATTAATTATATATATTTTATATATTTATAAAATATATAATTTGACGAGATTTTACCGCTCGGACTTGATGATACACCGCAGCGTGTTTCTACAAAATGTTCGGCCACTGCACGTGCAGGTTCGTGCGGTCTCTGTATGCATAACAGGGCGCTCGGGCCGGATGTACTCTTTCCTGAGCCGCTTTTACCGATTCGCACTGTCCGCACTGGGCTTATCGTCTCGGGAAAAGTGACCTGGTCAGTTTTCCTGGGCGCGTGGGAAGTTTTCCTGGGCAGCAGTTGACCAGTAAAAGTAACCGCTGGACTCAAGAAAAGTAATCGAGAGGAAAACGTCCTAGGCTGTCCGCACTGAACTTTAACCCTTACTCTCTGAGGGTAGTTTACTGCATGTCAGTTGGTTATGCCAATGCCCTCCAGCTGCAGTATATTGACAGTGAAGGCTCCAATTGGCAGGAGTTGGAGGCCCTGGAGGGTGCCTGATACTGACCAGCTGGGGGCACTCACTTTGTTATCAGAGGACTCTCATTGTTCTCTGTGGCATGTATTGGAGTGCCTGTCCAGTTACCCTTGAAATGACATGGCAGATATTGGAGGGCCATGCAAAAAACATAGGAGATTTTCTTGAGGCACATATTGGCATGCGTTGGAGGGTCAAGTAGGGTAAGGGTTAGATGGGAAAAGTACCCATAGTCTCGGTTAGTTTGACCAAAAAAAGTCCAGTGCGGACAGGGCTTAAGTTACTTTTCCTGAGTCCAGCGGTTACTTTTACTGGCCAACTGTTACCCAGGAAAACTGACCACGCGCCCAGGAAAATTGACCAGGTCACTTTTCCCGAGACGATAAGTCCAGTGCGGACAGTGCGAGTCGGTAAAAGCGGCTGAGGAAAGTGACATCCGGCCCGAGCGCGAGTATCATGCATACAGAGACCGCACGATCCCACATGTGATGTGGCCGAACATTTTGTGGAAACACGTACCGGTACGCTGCGGTGTGTCAAGTCCGAGCGGTAAAATCTTGTTATAAATATATTTTAACGGAGAATACATTCACAGAAAATATCAAGATCACGTTCTGGGAAATACTTTGCAGTCATTCTTTTTCTCCACCAATGTTTGTTTTGTATTTTCTACGATCCCAATTCGTCCTGTTACGCCGTGTAGTCTGCATGGCACAATACGTAGGCCGCAGTCCCTGGTTCCAGTCCTACATCATAGCTTTGATTCTGTTAGCATGCGGTGGGAACCAGCGATTACCAATGGAACTGCTGCCACATGGCTTCGATGTCGTCCATCACAAATGCGTCAGAATAGTAGGCATTTTCGTCAAGATTTATCGTGTCAAGATGAAATAACATCGTATGTTACGATTATATTTTGCATTTTAATGGTGTGTGTAATATTATACTGTGCATATCGGGGGCTGAAAAAAATGTGATCGGCATTTTATTTCCTGTGCACGTGACTGTGACAGCTCGGTCACTTCTCCCACGCGGTCTGGGTAAAATTTCTCGTGTCGAAAGTCCAAGTGCGGACAGTGGTCACATTTGACCATTTCTCATTTTACCATCGTCTCGGTAAAACCTTAAAAAAAAAAAGTCCAGTGCGGACACGGCTTAAGATGGAATTTTGCGTCGGGGTGATGTAAATCAAATTGGCTTTTGCCCTTCACCGACTATCCATTGTATGAATAGTTAATGCAGTACCCGCTGCTATGTACATCAGATTTGAACCAACCAGCTCGGTGGTCGAGTGGTAAGATGTCTGCACTACAAAGCAGGAGGTTGTGGGTTTGAGTCCCACCCCAGTGATTTTTTTCCAACTTTCACTCGGGAGGTACCACACTGAGTATACAGTGTTTATACATCAGTGAAGGGCTAAACCTAATTTGATTCATTCTTTTCTTGATTAATACAAAGCCCATTAAAAAAGACAAATAAAAATATCAAAATATTATGAGGCATCAATAAAGTATCAAGTATCAGAAAAGCATACTAGTTCAAATACCAGAATGGTGATAGTACATAGCATTATTTGTGCTTGGCAGTTTTGAATTACGCACACAAAAACAGCAGCTTGCATTACAAAAACGGTCCATTTTCACTATATTATCCCGACCCAGATTCCATAATTCATACCTCATACGATGCAACATAATTGATGTTGATGCTAGTAATTGACTTCAAACAGGACAATGAAGACTAAAATATGAAATTTTTCAATGATTTTGGTGGCTATTCTCGAGAAACCATGAGAAAAGTCCCGCGACAATATTCTGCTGACTGCCGTTGACCCCCCAAAAAACACAACATTGGCAAATAAAAACATCAGATTTACCTCAAAACAGCCTCCAAATTACTAGATACGCCACCTGAGGTACAAGGAGAGATCATGTCCTCTGATGCAAACTGGTTAAGATGTTACTTTTTATGGTCAAAAGAAGTCAATTTGGTATCTTTATTTTTTGTTGGTATTCAGGGAGACATCAGTTCCCAGCTCAACAGCTCCACCAGTGATCTTCCTGACCTCACCAGACAGTTTTTTGTGGTCTGTTTCAAGTCGATCATTGGGCTCTGTGAATGACTGCTGCATCTACGAGGTATGTAAATGAAATCCGAGGTGGGATATTAGAGGTGAAAATGAACAATTTTTGAGAGGCCATTTTTTTAGGGTCTCTTGCTACCACACTCCAGAGATACATGTGAATGAATATTATGAGCATGTCAGCTGGAGTTACTCCAGCTAAGTTCTAGGGGTAATTGGCAATGACATAGTCCCATGATGTAACTTAGCTTGAGTAACTTCAGCTCTAATGCCTATCGCATTAGAGCTGGAGTCGAATGTCGGGCAAGTCGACCGTTGAGACAACTCGACTCGGGACAAGTCGACCGTTGAGACAGCTCGACCCTTGAGACAAGTCACCCGGTTTGACAACTCAACTCGGGACAACTCGACCGTTGAGACAGCTCGACTCAATGGAAATGTATACACGTGGAGCGGAAAAAGTTGCAATCTGTGGCAGAACCCGGGCACAGCACGGGTATACTCAATGCACAGAGGCGCGCTCCGATCCAGTGGCCGTCGCGTTGGGCCGGCGCGCCCCGCATGCGAGGACCGGTCCCGGCCCGGCACGCGGGCACGTCGACCGGCGCGGCAAGTGGGCTTACAGGCCCGGCAAAAACAATGCCAGCATGCACGGTACGGCCACGTTGACCAGGGATAAGTGCGCGCACAGGCCCGGCAAAAAACGATGTCACCATGCACGGTACGGCCACGTTGACCAGGGATAAGTGCGCGCACAGGCTCGGCAAAAAACGATGTCACCATGCACGGTACGGCCACGTTGACCAGGGATAAGTGCGCGCACAGGCCTGGCAAAAAACGATGTCACCATGCACGGTACGGCCACGTTGACCAGGGATAAGTGCGCGCACAGGCCCGGCAAAAAACGATGTCACCATGCACGGTACGGCCACGTTGACCAGGGATAAGTGCGCGCACAGGCTCGGCAAAAAACGATGTCACCATGCACGGTACGGCCACGTTGACCGGGGATGCGCGTGGCCCGGAAAAACGGACGATGTGCACGGTCAATCATGCTGCGCTATATCAGCTCTGGTTTTTTTTGATATGCAGCAAAAAAACTCATGTGTCATAACTCCCAATCGGCGATCAGCCGCCGTCAAAATACCCAGTACTATCCCCAAAGCTAGGCCCCAAAACAAGTGAGTCGACTTGACTCAACGGTCGACTTGTCTCAACGATAGATTTGTCTTTCCATTTATCACACATACGGTCAAGTTGTCTCAATGGTCGAGTTGTCTCAACGGTCGACTTGTCTCGAGTCGAGTTGTCTCAACGGTCGACTTGTCTGACCCCCCTGGAGTCACAACTACGTTAAAAGTACCGGGTCGTAAGAGTCCCGAAATCCCGGACTCTGTATCCCCAGTGCATTACAAAAACGGTCCATTTTCCCTCTATTATCCCGACCCAGATTCCATAATTCATACCTCATACAATGCAACAGGCATTCAGGAAGCTAGTAATCGACTTCAAACGGGACAATGAAGACTAAAATATGAAATTTTTCGACGATTTTGGTGGCTATTCTCGAGAAACCATGAGAAAAGTGGCGCGACACTATTCTGCCAACTGCCGTTAACCCCCAAAAAAACACAACATCGGCAAATAAAAACATCAGATTTACCTCAAAACAGCCTCCAAATTACTAGATACACCACCTGAGGTACAAGGAGAGATCGATGATTAAAATCGAGGTGCTGAAGTTTGCTTACGAGTCGGATGAAAAGTGAAATTTCCCGTTCAATTCCGAGAGCTCCCCTCGGGATCTATCGTTAAATTGCTGACTTGTGTTTGAATGACGCGATGTAACCATACGTGCCCAGCATTCATTCAGTGGTCCCAGCGATGCATCCATTATGATAATGGCCGACTGGATCTCGTTTGTACAGACAAGTGCATTCGAACTGGGTCTGGAACTAGAGCAGCTATCAGCGGAAACCAGTTCAAGCTAGTTCCCGACTCCATATCATCGTTCGAAATGCACTTGTACAAACGAGATCCAGTCTACTCATTATCATAATCGATGCATTGCGCTTGTTACCGGAATCGCGCTGAGACCACTGAATGAATGCTGGGACGAACGGTTACATTGCGTTGTTCAAACAAGAGTCAGAAATTTAACGATCGATCGTGAGGGGAGCTCTCAGAATTGAACGGGAAATTTCACTTTTCATCCGACTCGTAAGCAAACTTTAGTACCTCAATTTTAATCATCGATCTCTCCTTGTACCTCAGGTGGCGTATTAAGTAATTTGGAGGCTGTTTTGAGGTAAATCTGATGTTTTTATTTGCCAATGTTGTGTTATTTTTTGGTCAACGGCAGTCGGCAGAATAGTGTCGCTCGACGTTTTCTCATGGTTTCTCGAGAATCGCCACCAAAATCGTCGAAAAATTTCATATTTTAGTCTTCATTGTTCTGTTTGAAGTCGATTACTAGCTTCGTGAATGTCTGTTGCATCGTATGAGGTATGAATTATGGAATCTGGGTTGGGATAATATCTGGGGAAAATGGACCGTTTTTGTAATGTACTGGGGATACAGAGTCCGGGATTTCGGGACTCTTACGACCTGGTGCTTTTAACGTAGTTGTGACTCAAGCTCTAATGCAATAGGCATTAGAGCTGGAGTTACTCAAGCTACAGGTAACTAGTGGACAAGGCCTACCTCCGTATTAACTGTCACAAATCCGCAAGCTTATTGATTGGGTTTTTATATCCTAGAGTTTAAAAGTGCTACAGACAAAACTTCATTCGAAAATTGGTCCTGCTATTTGGGTTTTGGTGTTTTTTACTCACCCAATATTTTGTAATTCTTTGCCCAGATCTGTTGGAAAAGGAAGACCTGGGGACGCGCATCGGCAAATTATCAACTCACATTGATGAGATCAAGGGTGAAATCTACCACGCCGTACACAAGAAGTATGCCAACTACAGACCCACCAGGGACTCCACCCAGGAGCTACACAACAAGGTGCAGACACTGTCCACTGAGATGCAGACTCTCAGCAATAAGATCAAGGTATGTCATAGTCTTAAGGCCCTAGTAACACATTCACGGTTGGACCTACGAATATCCACGGTTTACCAAGAATCAATTGATCACAATGAACCGTCAAGACTCGTGGAGAAATTGACTTTCTAAGAATGCACTAGGGTTTCAGGACGGATAGCCACGACTGTCAGAGGTTTCTTTACGAATACACCACGGTTTCTTGAATGGATTGTTTATGAATATTGACAGTATTACCAAGAATAATGATGTTAATGCCACAGTTGTCTGCGATTGGGCCACTGATGACCAAGGTTCTCCTACAAATAAAGCATAGTCATATTCGTAGTACAACCGTAGCAGAATTCTAGCATATCTTGGCATAACCGTAGGACATTTGTAGTGAATTCGTAGAGATTTCCACCACGAATGAGCTATAAATCTCCAAGAATATTTATGAAAACCTACAAATAACACTACGAATTAGTTCGGTTGTTCTATGGTTGTCTCAGGGTTCTACTGCGCATTGATTTTTATGACGATTCACCACAGAAGTTTGGAACAGTTAAGAACTTCGTAGCCTCTCCAAGAATACCAAAGGAAGTTGACGGATAACCACGCAAATATTTAAGATGAATGGTTATCATATGTAGTATGTGTGGGACTGAAAGTGAACAGTAAATTGCATTTTTTCATGGAAATATTTTGGCCTGAAGCTTGGCATAGGGGTTCTTTTTACCCAAGCGCCCCACTTTGTGCCGAAACCTCATATGGTTCAATACTTTGAGGTGTCCACTGGAACGTAAATTGTCAAACAATTGGCCATGCACAACGGCCAATTCAAGATCAACACACAGTCTGGCCTGTATGACTTCACAGACTTTTGTGTGTGTGCAAAAGCAGAATGTTACCCGGAGGTGAGTGGAGGCAATTTTGACCTTTTAACCCTAGAAAATCCATCAGCCGTGCCTGTGCATAAAAACAGCCAGTGCGTCTTATCACGTCCTCTGATGCAAACTGGTTAAGATGTTACTTTTTATTGTCAAAAAAAGTCAATTTGGTATCTTTATTTTTTGTTGGTATTCAGGAAGACATCAGTTCCCAGCTCAACAGCTCCACCAGTGATCTTCAGGACCTTACCAGACAGTTGGAGAAGACTAACGCTATCATTGATGTGCTACAGTCACTATGCAAGGTAATGATCAACCCCGTATGGCAAGACAGAAACGTTTCCCTAACAGGAACAGGGTGTTTGTGTTCTTGGGCAAGACACTTTACCGCAGTTGTCTTTCTCAAGGTGTACAAATGGTTGCCTGTGAGGGTTGAGACCATATGTGACGCGGTCAAGCTAAATGAATCATTTGTCGGGAACTTTCATTTGGAGATTCGGGCCAAAATAGAGCCACTTCATCACATCACATCTCTTGGTGTTCCGATTTCCATAACTTTTGAACTAAAGATGGTACCAGCATGCGGTTTTTACACCAGTAATGCTGAGATTGTGCTCTTTTCAAATCTGTAAAAAAAATTGACCAGGGTCAACAAACGACTCATTTAGCTCGATCGCATCACATATTGGACTGATCTTAGGCTGTTGCAGAAAACTGGTCTTGCAGCCTGGTGGACAGGGGTGATATTTATGACGCACTTTGAGCCATTATAGTGTAAAGTTCCTATAAGAAAAGGAAAAATCAAGTTATTGAACTCACAAACTGGAGTTTATAGCGATGTTTATAACCAGCATGACTCATGGACAGAGGGTAAGATTTTGATTATTTATGGAAATTTTGGAGTAAAATTACAATGAAGACGACAAAACCCAACATGACAGACCGTGCGACAGACCGTGCGTGTGCAAAAAAGTTGATTTCAATGGCATCAGCTGAAAAAATATCTAAAAAACTGCATTTTCTACCAAAAGATACTGTTCAAAATAAAACATATGGTCATATTTGTTTTTGTTGTGCTGAAGGAACACTTAACTCTTTCGCTACGGCGAGCCGCTGACAGCGGCTCATACAAATTGTACAGGTCGTACGGAGAGCCGCTGGCAGCGGCTCGGTTGCGTGGCTATGAATAAACAGGGTATCCCCATGACATGGGCCATATCTACATAATTTATATCGTATAACCTCTGATCCTAGTTTGAGCCGCTGCCAGCGGCTTTCCGTCTGGCCGGGGTGCGCTTTTGGTTATTGTGAGCAGTTTGTTTACGGAGATACATTCAAAGATGGCGGCGCACACATCGACGCTCGGCGGAATTTTCAGCTTTTAATTACGTCCAGTTGGGACAAAAAAGGTAAATTAAATTCCGTAGCGAAAGAGTTAATATCTTTTGGTGATCCGTGGACAGACTTTTAAAAGTAAGGTTGTGTTTAAAATTACATAAAATACATGAGTGATTTGAATGATTGTTGTACTAAAAGAAAACTTATGAATTGGGCTTTCATATCTTAGAATTTGAAAGTGCTACATGCAGAACTTCACTAAAACAATGCAATTTTTTTTTTTTTTTTTTTCACCCACCCTGTCTGTACTTGACCTAAACTAAACAGGGGCCCGTCACTACATAATCGCCATTTTAAGCACCACATTTTTATCCTGTGATTCCTTAAGGATGAATCATTTTAGATCATGGAATCATAGACAGACGTTGGAAATCATTGTTGACAAGTAAGTTTGTCTTATAATTTCATCCTCTTCATATTAAGAAACCCCACTTTCCTGACGATTCTAATGATTTGTCCGTCCGTTTTGTTTGACGGGTTAACAGTTTACTGACAGACTTTCAAAGCTTCGTCCAGAACAATGAGTTCCTGCAAGCAGCCGATGCTGTCAATGAATTGGTAAGAGACAAATGAAAGTAATTGCCAAATCAAATTAAGATGAGACTTGGTTCCTATTTTCCAAATTTGTCTTCTAAAAGGAATGCATACTTCTCTTCTGTACGAAGTTTACTTTAAAATTACAAATTTCAGGTTGTTTTTGTAAACTTTGAATCCACTGTAATCGAATTGTACTTTGCATATTTTGATTTTTTTTTTTTCCCTGCAGAAATCTGATTTGGATGTTCTCATCGAAGACGGATACTGTGAGCTGAAAATTGTCAAGGCTCTAAGGGTAAGGAGCTTATCCGTTGTCTGTTTACTTGCAGCAGGCCAGTGAGGATGCAGAAAGTAGATTGATCTTGTTAGAATCGCATTTACATCGCGTCAACACTGCTGGTGAAATATTGTCCAATTACAGACATACGAATAGACACGGAATGCGCAAAATCTGAGACAATCAAAACGTAGTGTACAAATATTCCATGGGGTTGTCTAAAGGGGCGTGGCTAACTCGCAAACGGTGACAGGTCAGTTGGGGTGACGTTGTTGAATTTTGCCAGCCAGAGAGAGACATTGCTAATAAGAGTTTTTTTTTCCCCGTTTTAGTCTGAGCAGCGAGTGAACCAAGAGACGCTGCTGCATCATCTAGGAGAGGCCTGGTCTGCCATGACTGTCTGGACTATACCCCATGCCAAAGAACCTGTCACCTTGACCAACGTCAGCCAAGTCCAACTCAAACTAGGTAGGTCAACAAGACGTTGGACGCTATGGCATGTGGTCTGGAGTATCATATTCAAGTTTTGTAGGTTGTGGGTTCGAGTCCAACCTTGGGTAGCGGTGTCGTGCGTGTGTTCGTGCACATTACCTTTTGACACCCATTGCTTCTCCCCACCCAGAAGTAAATTTTGTTTTTTCACATTTTTTAACCAGTTCACAGTGAAAATGCTTCGGTGACTGCCAATGCCATGAGCCAGGTTGGAATTCTGAAGAGCAAAATGTAAGTTTTCGGTGAGTTTCTTAAATGTTTGTCTTCTCTTTGTGACTGTTTTTCAAAACCGAGCTTTGATAAACCAAAAATACATTGGCAGAACGAATTTGAATTTTGAATTCACATTTGAAACAGACTTTGCTCATTGTATCTTTTCAGTCCTTTGAAAACGTCAGCTGCAAATCGACTTATTTCAACAAAATTATTGTCAATTTTCCATTTTCAGGAAAGAAACTGATTTTTTCTACAACCTGCAGAATTACCCGCAGACCACAAATTCAATGCTCCAGTTCACGAGGCCACGGCACTCCTAAGCAAAAGTTGTTTTGTGCATTTAGTGAATGAACGTGCTAACATCTTCTTTGCAGTCGCAGTCAACCACCGTTGGATTCAAGGTGCTACCCAAGAGCTCTGAGGAGGCGTCCGATCCCGTAGCTGTATACAAGAGCACACTGGCAATACTGAAAGCACTGAGTGGGCCGTTACTTAGCCTCACGACAGAGGGTAAAAACGGAGATGAGAACACTACGCTGATGGCTATGCTAGGTAGAGACCATTTCATTGTTTTGTTTTTTTTCCCCACTTTTTGTCTTTCTTTTCCCCATTTTGTCCATATGTTTTGCACACGTTTTCATTCTACAAGTCACTTTGGGAACTTTAATCAACTTTATATTAAGGTCTTTCACTGTAATATGCACCACGCCATCTTGTTCACGGGGCAAAATGAACGCGCGTTGCTAGACGCGGACCATTTTGGAATGACCGCATGTTGACTTGGAAGTGCCAAATGTTTCCATCGACGATGCGTACACAGCAGCGCGTGAAAAATTGCCCCATCAGCAAGATGGCGCATATTACCGTGAAACACCTTATTACAATATTCATTAACCATCATCTGAAGATGTGTGCCAAACACCTTCGTTATCATGCCTTCATCAAGGGTTGTGTGGATTCATTGTTAGAATGGCTTATTCTGATCTTTTAGGCAGTTTTAAGTGTCATTTTTGTAAGTAGATGTTTTAAGTACCAATTTCAGTGTCAGTTTTATGGCTGCTTTTGGAAAAGGCAGCGGGTGAAATTATGATGTGACATCGACAGTTGACCATATTGTGTCCGAACAGAAACATTTTCAGGCAAGTTTTTGTTAACCCCAACCTTTCCAAATCCTTCAAAATCCTCTTTGAAAAATGGAGGTTTTTGCAGAATTGAGGCTATATGGCAAAAATGTGCGGCTCATTTTGGATGATGCACTGTGTCAAGGTCTTAGGCCAGACCTTGTGTTGTTTATGCTCAGCCGTGCATAAATTTAGGCCTAGATTTACACCAGAAATCCTCTCCACTGTTCCAGGATGTCGCTGGCATTGCCTCGACAATTTGACCGTGATTATTGGAGGATTTGGTAGGATTGAGGCAGTGGTCACCCCTCCAAGGACCACATTCAAGAAATGACAGAGGATTTTGCAGGATTGAGGTTGCATCCCAGCAAAAATGCCTAGGTAGTTAATTCATTGTGCTGTTTCATTTTGTTCGTCTGACACGTAAATTAGGTTTGTAACCAAATGTTTCTTTGATCTTTACAGGAGAACACGTCTGGCCAAAGCTGTCCAAGTGTATCATCACACATTGTCTGGTGCACTCGATACCCACAAGCAGCTCAAAGGTAGCCACACAGGATTACTCTCTTCAAGACAATTGTTTCAGGGTTTAGGTTAAAACAAAATCAACATCATTTCCTTAAAGATTTGTTGTCTGTATCGTCATCTCTGAATTAAAGGGACACTGCGTCCTGGAACAGCCCAATTGGGCTAACACGCTTTGAACAAAATGATGTTACTTTTAAAAGTAGGATATAAACATTCACACGGCTATCCTTTAAAAACTGGGCGTTTTTGTGTTATTCTTGTATTATGCATGCGAAAACGACTTTCGGGTCCAATTTTCGACCCCCAAAAGTCGAGCTGTTTGGGTACTAGTTGTGATTCCATCCATAAAGTGTTTGCCTTTTGCGGACGTGTAAGAAACCACATTTTGGGCATTGGTGATTGGTCACCGCTGTTCATGAGCATATGGTGCTGTATGTCAATACACTGAAAACGACAGGACGAGTGTATTCGTACTCCGTCGTGTCTGATGTAAACAACCAATTTCTTTTTGTCTATTCCCAGGAACACTATTACATTAGGTTGGTTTCCTTTCAACCAGATGTTTGAAATACAGTAAACTCCGGCTAAACCGACATCGTATAAACCGTCCTATCGCTTAAATCGGCCGTCTGAGGACAGTCCCGATTGTCTCTAATGCATTTCCATTGACATTTTCATTTCTAAGTCGGCCTTTGTAAGCTGCCATTTTGCCTGTGTCGGCGTGTTACTTTCAGTCCCATTTCCTCAAAACCACAAACATTTCTCTGTATAAGTCGGCATCGTGCTCTGCGGTTTGCAAGAAGTGTCGAGTGAAAAGTCCCACACACTACGAACTGACATCTGTTTATCAATGGCATGGCCCGTGATTGATGCATCGGCCAGCACGTGTACACTAATCGCACTTGTACACTGTTTCATGCACAGTCTGTACATTGTGTGCATCGTTCGCTTACACGTGCGCGATCAAAAAGGGGTTTTCCTGATAGCACATCAATACCAGTAACCCCTCTCGACTGCAGGCATGTGCTTTGTTCATTTTGGGGGTCCCCTTATTGTACCAGCACGTACGTGCACAATGTACACTACATGTACATGGACGTACAGTATGCAAGTGATCTGTATATCGTACCACTGTTAACGCTAGCCGGCCGCGCCGTCCTTGCTTGGTACGTACGTACATGTACATGCATGACTTTCTGTGATCAATACCACAGCCTGTTTGTGATGATAAACATTGAGGATCTATTTGCTGGAATCAACCATGGATGTAGAAATAAAAGAGGGTAAATCAAATCCTTTGAATTTTAGCCATGAATCTTGTTTGCATGATCCAGATAAAGATGCGCATGGGCCATTAATTCAATCTATTTTTTTCACTCCGTGATTTAATTTGTGTATTTGTGTAAGTCGGCAAAATGACGACTTGCAGCAGAAGCCGACATTCGCGTAAGTCGTCACAAATTCTCTGGTCCCCAGAGTGCCGTCTTAGCCGGAGTTTACTGTATGATAAGTAAACAATCCAAAACCTGAAATTTTCGGGGATTTCAGGACCTAGTGCCCCTTTAAAGTTTATTTTATTGGAATATTATTTGAAAATCTTAAATGGAAAATTTGAGGGGACAAAAAGTGTTCTAGAAATTAAAACACTGAAAATCGAACCGGGAGGTTTTCAGTGATGGAATTGTGCCAATTTGGTAGAAACAATAAAATTCACTTGTGATTTTGTGGTGTATATGAATAAAAAAAAGAAAGAAGTCTGCACATTTAATGCTGTGTAGTGAATATTCATGTTTGAAAATGTATTTACAGAAATAGTGTATGATAACATTTGTTAATTTGTTTATTTTATCATATTCACCATTTTAGCTCAATGAATACAAAGCTGTCATCACGGCTACCGAGGGATTTGAAGCTTCTCTACGGAAAACAGGTCAGTCAGCAGTTACAGAATACAGAATATTTATATAATATTGGATGGCTTTGAGGTGGATACAAGAATATATTGCATGAGCTATGACAATATTGCACGAGTCGAAGACAATATATTCTTGTATCCCCCTCCCCAAAAAAGCCATCCAATATTATTATTTTTTATATCGAGCTGACTTAATTCGCTAGAAATACAATTCAAGACACTATCTTCATTTCGCCTTTTTCGTCAAACTATTTGAAGCTGCCATTGTAATTGTTGACAACGGTGCGCGTATATCTGGCCTGCTGAGCGCTGCATGCTTGCTGCGTGGGCGTCTTTGTTCAACGGTACCGCGCACTACGCTCTGTTGAGTGGTTGACAACTGTGAGTTTGCAGCGAAAATGCCTGGATGAGGGCGCGCCGGAGAATTTCCAAATTATTGCTATCTTGGTTCGTTTCACAAAAGCAAACAATACGCTGATTTATTTTTGACCGCTGGAAGCCTCATATAAATAATAAAATAAAACACTGCCTGGAAGCTAAATATTTGAAATAGCAGAGAATTTCTCTTATTCAGGGTTTATTGCAGAAACTGCTTCTCCACTGCTGACCTACGCCAGAGATGTCAATGTCCACTTTGCTAACAAAAAGGTGAATTCTTTTTTTTAAGGTACTTCTCAATATGTTGTGGCAACATTTCTTTAATAGCAACATTCAGTTTGTTTGGACTTGTGACTGGACTTGTGACTGGACTTGTGAAAGGACTTGTGAAAGGACTTGTGATTTTCTCGTGATTGAACTTGTGATTTACTTGTGACTGGACTTGTGATTTACTTATGACTGGACTTGTGACTGGACTTGTGACTGGACTTGTGACTGGTCTTGTGACTGGACTTGTGACTGGACTTGTGACTGGACTTGTGACTGGACTTGTGACTGGACTTGTGATGGACTTGTGACTGGACTTGTGATTTACTTGTGACTGGACTTGTGATTTACTTGTGACTGGACTTGTGACTGGACTTGTGATGTACTTGACTACATCCCTGACATTGTTTATGTTTGGTTTATTTCCTTTTTGCAAGTGTCAAGAGCTGATAGTTGAAGCCCGCAAGCTGATGAAGAGAGAGCTGCACAATACAAAGAGAGTCGGTACATGAAGGTTGACAACAAGAACGTCAAAGATCAAAAACAAGATGCCAAGGTTAGAATTTGTTGGAAATTGTGCGCTTCAAGACTAAACTGGATTTGATTGTGTCATTCTAATCAGCCTTTAACAGTTCTTGCAAGTTTAAAACATTAATTGAAATATTTATTGTTGAAATGTGTTGAATGAACTTATCGTATTAAATATGAAATTTCACTTGAGGACACTTGCAATGTAATTTTTTTTACTTCTTTCAGGACAAGTGCCACGTGAGCGAGGGTATCTTTGCACTGCCTGAGTGTGCAGTCAGTG